TAACTAAGGTAAAACCTATGAAAACACAAAAAGGAAGTAAAAAGCTATAAAATGTCAAGAACTAACTCAAAATAATAGGTGAATAACATGATAAATCATGTGTAAAAATGAACCGAACATTCATGTCATAGATGCACTTCCGCCATGGTCATTTCCTATGTGAAGATGAGTCCTGCCTCGCCAAAAAGTTTGTTGTCTTTCAATCTGAGGCAGAAATGAAGGTGAATTTTTAGAACGTGAGATACACTACTACAAAAATTGAAATAGACGACGGGAAAACATCGTCGTCTTTTTCTTTTTCAAACCGTCGTTAAATCGACTGTCGTCTTTTTGAATGTCAAACTACGACGGTAATTAACCGTCGTCTTTACATATAATAGACGACGGTTTTTAACAGAACCGTCGTCTATTATATGTAAAGACAACGGTTTCTTGAAATATTGTCATTTATTAACTCTAAGACGACGGTTATTAACTATAAAACTGACGTAATTTTACATTTTAGTTTTTTTTTCTTGTTTCAAATGGTATCAGAAATATATACTCAAATATGCTATTACACATGCCATACATATATATACTCAAAAATTGTTTATTTCATAAACAGAATATCAAGAGTACAGTAGAACAAAATAAAATCTAAAAAATGAAAGTACTCTAAGGCAGCTAGCTGCAAGCCTAATTATAATAATACACCAAAATTCCTATACCTAATTATCCTTCAAGTCAAGTTCTCCATATGTATACAGAGCTATACATTCATCATCACCAATTTTCCTCTGCATTTCTTCAACTTTTACCACTATGAGTAGCTTCTTTAGTACAATTTTCTCCTAACAAGACCTACATCTAGTACTCCTCATCCAAGCCTTCCTCTCATCCAAACATACAATTGATGCACAATTGAAGTCTACTCCATCATCCCTGTAAATAAATCAAAATGACAAAGAAAAAAAGGCTAAGATTACAAACAAATAAAATTAGATGAAAGAGAAATTTTACTTCACAGAAGTATGCAGTATTTCTAAGGGCCAGGAGATATACAGGTACATAAATTTCAGTTCGTCAACTGTCAGCCTAGAATCTCAATGACTTGGCCTAGCAAGTATACATGCATTTCACAAGCCAAAAATATAATAAAACAATTTAAACATGCCCAGCCTTGTTAGCAGGCCTTGAATTTTCCCAAATTGAACAAATGAAGAAGGTTAGTATTATCATCTAATCTTAGTCCTAGTTTTAAGGTTAATGCTTTATCATCTAAACTTTGTTGATTGAACAGTAGAAATCTATACTATACATAAAACAAGAATGATCAGTTAACAAAACAAAAACCCAAAATAGATCACATAAGTTATACCTGTAATTTCGTGATGTCCCACCCAAAAAGTAATTTAAGCCTACAATTGGAGATGTGCCAAACATTAAGTAGAACTTCATTCAAGGCCATAAGCACTAAACAGAAGGCAAACAAAAGGAAAAGAAAAAAGCAATGTACTTTGAGAAGAAAAGGAGGACCAGGATAAATAAGAAAAACTTGCACAGAAAAAGGCTAAGACATATTCAAAGTACCACAATGATCGGCTATGAACTGTGAAAAAGATATGAAAGAAAGCTATCTCAGATAGACAATTAAGCTAAAGAAATCCAAAATTAATGTGCTAGGTTCAATTCAAGTGTACCATAGTAACCATAATATGATATATCTCACTTTTATCTTCTTCTTCTTTTATTTTTTATTTTGGTTGTTAACAAGCAGCAGAAAAGTGAAAACAAAAATACCCAAAAATTAGAGTGGGTTTCCGAATGCAATTCAAGTGTACCATAGTACCATAATATGATACCATTTTTCTCATTTTTTATAAAAAAAATTTGAACTTTTGTTTTTAACAAGCAGCAGAAAAGTGAAAACAAAAATACCCAACAAAGAAAGTGGGTTCTGGAATGCAAACTGAGTACTTGAAAATGAATCTAAAGACAGAAAAATAGGGAGAGAGAGAGAGAGCTTACAGATAAGGTCCCCAAAAATGAAATCATATTTGACTTCTGCTAATAACGAAACCAGCAAACAAAGGGAACATGAATGAACAACACTCAAATAAGAGAACAGGTTATATCTACATGTGCACATACCCACACACAACAAAAGACTCCCTATCCAACTTGCTTTCCCAAATTCATGACCATGCATTTTCACGGGAATTCCATTATTTCTGCTGCAATTGATGCAGTGTGACAGGTAGACAAAGACACAAAAAACAGGACTTTAAAAGCTTCAGACAGAAAATCAAAACCAAAATCTCAATCAACAACAACAGAAAGGGGAAAGGGAAAAGGAAAAGATCAACAGATTTTGTGTTACAACCTATGAAGATCCATACTCTATGAAACAAAAATGGCAGGAAATAGAAAACAATTAAAAAAATAAGCAAAATAAATAGATATAAATATAAAAAACAGAAGCACATATACACTCACAACATGACGTCGCCAGACTTGGACCCAAGAACAGAATCGTGATCACACAACGATGATCCAACTCGTAACCACCACCGATAAGCGTCGCTTGCAAATCTCTGAAATCGCCCAAACAAAAGTCAAATAAAGACCAAAACGAAACCTCAAATTTACCGGAGAATGGGTCGACAAAGAGAAGGCGAAGCCTGGAAGAGAAGAGCTAGTGGGCTCGAGAGAGGGGAGATCGCGAAGATTGTGGAGGTGTCCTCGTGAAGATCGTGAGGGTGATACTTTTGGCGACTTCGGTAACTTGGACTCAAGGGATATGACGACCTTAGTGACCTGGATGCCGAGATCTGGAACCTGGATGGCAAACTTAGTGACCTAGACGGCGCGATGGAGATGGTGTTTCAGCGATGAGAAAGGGAGTTGAGAGAGAGAGGGTTTCTAAAGGTCGTGAGAGACGGGTTTGAGATAGAGGGTTTCTAAACTGAAGTGAAACTTAAGTGAATTATTTGTCCGCCGCGTTTTAAAGCACGACCGTTTTTAATAACGACCCGTCGTAATTTTTATGAGGGCCTTTTAAAAACACGACGCTTTTTAGTTTTACTGTCGTTAAATAAGTGTCGTAGTTTTCCATTTTTGTAGTAGTGCCAGAGAGACATAGACGAATTGGTTCATAAAGGAAAACATCTAAGTACTGGCATATAATAGTTTTTTTAGAATTTCAGTATGATTTTTCAAAATTATAGCCATCATACTTTCTTAAGATCACGATGTGATGGTTATACAACCTGAGTTTTTTTATTATTAATTGTTAAGTTAGTCTCACGAAAAAAAAAAAGCCATGTGGAGCCTGGTCAGAGCAAGTGGGTAGTCTAATCGACATTTGGGATCGTGAAGTATGGTGGTGTGACCCCATGAATCATGGTAAATCTCGACCGCCGCCCTGATCGTGGGTTCTGCGCACCTGGCCGTGGGGACGCATTTAATGCCCTTGTTTGGTAGTTGGCGATCTTACGACGCTTTTTAGTTTTACCGTCGTTAAATAAGTGTCGTAGTTTTCCATTTTTGTAGTAGTGATATTTTTTGTGTTCCTGCATCTTGTAGCATTTAATTATCTTGACTTCGCTTTATTTTTTATTTTTCAGAGGCATAATACGATTGAACATGGAGGGCGCTTGTCTCGTTCTAAGCGTAATGCTGCTTTGCAGGTAAGTATTCTTTTTTTTTTATCTTGTCTTGCATTTTTCATTTTGCAGCTAGGCTGAGTACTTCTCTCATCTTTTTTATTTATTTATTTGTGAAGATACCAACCAGCTTCCGGTATCAACAAGATCATCGACGTGGAAGAGGTGGAAGAGGTCGGACATTTCGTCGTGATTCTTCTGAAAACCAACTTTCTATGGCTATTCAAGCAAGTCTGGAGACAGCTCATGCTGAAAATACATTCCATGATCCTTCATCCTCCAGTGGGCAAGTTGCTCCACATCTTGGAGATATAAGCGATATTGATCCAATCATTGACCCATTTGAATCATTAAGTACAACGGATATCGAAGCATCTTCTAGGTATCGTCAAGCCTTGGGGCATAGTTCTAGTAATGCACCTTTGGAGGAATCTTCCTTTCCTCCCCTCTCAGTGGCACCTAATAACACCATGGCAGCACATCTTCGCCGCAAGAGCAACCGCAAGGCGGCTGTTAATAGTTCTTGTCAGGCTTGGCCAGCAGCAAGGCATGGGCCTGTAGTACAACCTACTAGCTCAGCTCAGGCTTGGCCTACAACAAATGTTTCCCCTATAATATCTCGTGCTTCTGGTCAGAACAATGGGCCCAGGCCATCTAGTTATGCAAGTTCCGCTCAGGCTCAAGTCGAGACTAGACAGACAACAGTTTTGCGCGGTGCTGGTCAGAACAATGGACCCAGACCATCTAGTTATGCAAGTTTCGCTCAGGCTCAAGTTGAGACGAGACAGACAACAGTACATGGGTTATCATCATCTGGTTCTTTGTGGGATTCAAGCAAAACCAAGTCTGGTAGGATCAGCCACTCTACATCAGCTCCGAATTTGGTTGAAAATGGATCTGTTCAACCTTCAGTTTCAGATTTCCTCCAGTTTCTGCAGCACAAGTGCGTAAGTTGCCCGCAACTAGCCAGGCTGTATTGAAAGTGGGGGATGTTCAAACTGCTAATAAGTCTTTGGTGGAAAAGATTCGTGCCGCTCTTGAATTTGACGAAGACAAATACACTATCTTTAAAGACATATCTGGACAGTATCGTCAAGGTTTAGTCGACACAGAAATATATTTAGATTTTGTGCGGCAGTTCGGCTTGTTGCATCTTGTCCTTGACTTGGCTAGACTCTGCCCTGATGGTCAGAAGCAGAAAGAGCTGATTGATGCCTACAATGCTAGTATTTGAAACAATATTGCACAAGGCAATGGATGGTCTCAGGGCAGTGTCCCCTTGAAAGAGGGTAATAGCAATGTTTTCAAAGGCGAGGCGTATAGGCAAGGCGTTTTTAGTAGCACTACGTGAGGCGTAAGCCTTGAAGCATTGAGGCGTAAGCCTTTTGAACATTAATTTATTTTAGTAAGAAAAATTTATGAACAATACAATACAATTAAATTGTATAACTAATTCTTATTGAACCATAATAATCTTTTAAATATAATTAAATATAATTACTAATTGTCATTCAAAGCATAATAATCAATCCCAAAACATAAAATATTTATTCAACATTAGAACAAAAACATAATTCACTCATCCCACTCCTCAACACTAATATCATAGCTATAAAACAACACCATTAATATTTCTAAGATACAAGTATGATGCTTATACATCAAATTTCTACTATATCACATAAACGAATAAGATAACTAATATATTTTAAAAAAAATTGAAATTTTTTTTTACGGAACTTCAAATTACAGTTGCGAAGAATTAGAGAGAAAAACAAAATGACTTACTTACAGTCGAAAAATGAAGAGAATTCTTGAAATTGATGGAGATTATCTAGTAAGGATAGAAATTAGGGTTGTACTATATATATATATATAATTCCATGTGTTAATATATTAATTTAGCAAACAAAAAAAAAAAGGGTAAGTAGAAAAGCTACAGTCGGCTGGAGATAAGAACCTATTAATTCTTCTTGCTTTTAGTTTATTACAATAAAGGAATGAAAAAAAAAACAGAAACTTGCGTGTTTTCTCTTTTTCAAAACACTCCAAGTGAAACGACGTCGTTTCACTTTAAGTTTTTTTTTAAAACACTTCAATCGAAACGACGTCGTTTCATTACAATTAACCTAAAAAAATAACCACGCGAGTCGTCTTCCTCGCAGAGCCGCAGCCAATTTGCAGACTCGCAAAAGTTTTTCCAGTTCAGAGTGCCCTGCCTCGCTGCGCCTTGAAACGCCTCTTCACACCTTCCCCGCGCTAAACGTGCAAGTCACGAAACAAACGACGCCTTGAGGCGATTTGCTGCCGCCTCGCTCCGACGCGCGCGAAGGCATGCCTTTGAAAACACTGGGTAATAGTTCTAAGAAAGGTAAAGGGAAGATTTCAGAGGCTGAAAACAGCATTTCTAAGAACACACTAGCAGATAGCTTTCTTAGCTCTGTACAGGAACTTCAATCAAACTACAGGCCTTCTGAAGAAGCAGTGGAGGTGTTGCCAAAGGATGGGTACCGTGCTGCCAAAGAAAAATCAAAGCTGTTAGTTAATGAGCACCAAGAGGAATTAAACTCCCGCAGTCAACCTCTAGTGCAACTAAGGGGCGAAAAGGATTCCCAGACAACTGGTGGTGGACCTAATCCAAATTTAGGGAATGGGGGTGGAGGGAGTAAGCAGCGTAAGAAATCCTCAAAGTTTCATAGGGTCCGCCTGGGTGATGGCTCTGCTGCAGCGCTTTTAGATCTCAGAAATTCTGATCCGCAGCCAGATGCTGGTAATGAGCGATTAGATGGGAGCAGTAACTCAGCTGGAGGATTGCCTGTCCAAGGTGTCTGGCGAAAGGGAACTCAGAAACTCTTTAGTTAGAGGAAAGAGCTAAGTTATCAGATTTTTTGTTAAAGTGTCCTGCGTTTACAAATTGAACCAGTAGTACATGGAAAAGAGTTCGGAGGTGGTGGTCATATTTAACCGACTGGGTTTGCATGTCGTGGCAATTTTGAGGTTTTTCTTGTTCTTTTGAAGGATCTTGCGTGATTGGGCTTTATGCGTTCACATGATCACATCTTCATATTTGTCATCATTATGCAAGTGTTCATATATACTCTTTGGAATGAGAATGCAAAGGTTTGAGACTTGATACAGTTTTGGTTAACGTTTCTGTACTTGAAATTGGCGTGATTTGTGTTATTTATATGTAAAGGTCCCAAAACTATAATTAACTGAAAAGTGCAATCGCGTGATTTTATGGAAGTGCTTTTTTTAATGTGATTCTTCCCCTTCCAATCTCAGCTTGTGGAGTTTACCCTTCTGCCACCCAAAGTAAAACTAGATTTCCTTCTCTGAACTCCCTCCCATGAAGCAATCTCGCCTGGACGAAAGCAGAGACAAAAGCCTCTCCCACCATTTGTTTTCTGTTCTTTGCAAATACCTTTAGTGTGGTTGAAACTGTGAAACTTTTAAGATTTGTTGCCTAATAAAGCGATTTTCAGAATGTCCTATAGCTACCAAATTACTTGATCCGAATTTGATGTGGTAGACATAGGATGAATGGGTTGTGTTATTTCCTCTTCCTCTTCTAAGAGGGTCACTAACTGAAGATTGCACATAGAACAATAATGACTGTCCCTGCTCATAAAAATGCTTGACATGTAGACAATTACTAACTCTGGATATTTTTAACATTTCAAGAGAAAACTATAATGCAGAGACACGGTCCAAACAGGGAAACGTATGGAAATTAGGGGGAGTGAGTTTGCAGGAATTTACAACAAATTAGCATATCACCCATGGTTTCCTCCCTGCTATACCACATATAAGAAATCCAATCATTTTCATGGAAGGTTTTGTTGATGATTAGCTCTACCCATTGAGATATGGGGAAAAAGGACAACATAGCAGCCAACGAGATGGTGTTCAATGTGATGCAAGGCACCGCAAAGTAAATATATAGGACAAGTTGGAACAAATGTGCAAGTCGATATGTCCAATAAATTGTTCCTGAAGTGTGCGCTCCTTCGGATGGAGCACCTAAACACCTTTTAATTGATTAATCAAACTAATTTAGAAATTATACGTTATTATATCAATAAAGTCTAGATTTCAAAACTACCTATCAAAGTTATTTGAGATGGGCAATTCCTCCAATGTTACATGCAAGTTTATGTTAAAGGGCCTCTAAGTTACATGTAAATGTGTAAATGTAGAGACCCTTCAATATTTATATATGCCCATAAAACAAGAAAGAATTCAATTTATTTGCATGATAACAAAAGAGTCGTACGGTTCTTGTGGTGGATGTTCTATTAGTTTCATCCTCTTTGGTTAGCCATCAATCAAAGGTAGGCTAGCCACTGTAGACAGACTTTATGTGTTCTTTGTAATTCTTTCCTTGAGTCTCATGAACATTTGTTCTTTTTTTTTTTCTTTTTTTTTTTATCAAATAGAAAGATTCATTCAACCGTAGCACCAACCAATGATAAAGTTTACAAACGAACGGAGAGCGTTAGTGTGGCCTCATTAAAACATTACCATCCAAAACCCTCAATGGGGGAAAATCCGGTCAAGGAAAAAGAGTACCACCACATCTCAAAAACAAACAATGAACATTTGTTCTTTGTATAGAGGTTCACTCCGTAATTTTAGTTGCACAAAATAGTTTTAAAAAAAATTATTACAAAATAATAGAATTTAATTTGTAAAGAGACAAAATTCTGAAAATTTTGGTTTTTTTTTTTTTAAAAATAACTTTTTTAGTATTGAAATTGGCCGTTGACGTCATCTTGCCCAGGCAGTTGCCTTCGGGCTTTCCCAATTTCGTGGGCCCACTTCTTGCCAAAGACAACTTTTCCTTTGTGGGAGTTGTTTTTTGAGCCTAGGACCCCATTTTACCATGGCAAAAGGGGATGGGTGGAAGTGCTCTAACGCACTTGTAGAAGAAGAAGACATGACCGACCAAACACAAGCAAGCCTTCTACTCTCAATAAACCAAAATGCCCAAAGTATTGAATAGGGTTTAGCCACAAAATTCTCTGAGCTAAGACTTTTCTCAGTATCCAAACACACAATACCTACCTCGTTTTCTCATAACCTATATTCCTATATTCATATCTTCTAAGATTCCTTATTTTCTATATCTTCTAAGATTCCTACCTACAATAAAGTGTCTGATTCAAAAGATCAAACAAACAAAAAGGAATAGGCGTAAACTATGGTCTGTGTTTCACATTGTGCCCTTCAATTATTCTTTTATAAAAGCGATTTGGGCTTCAATTATTTTTTGATCAACATGAGCTTTTGAGAAGTTCTTATTTGCCCTTTACCATCTTCTTTTGTCACAATTTCTATTATTTTAATCACGCACATAGCTTTTTTTTTAGTGACATTTTTGTTCATTCACCTCCACTTAATCCAAACCACAGTTACAATATTCCTCTCTGCATCTCTCTCTCTCTCTCTCTCTCTCTCTCTCTCTCTCTACTTCCTTTCTTTTTCTCTGGTCACAATCGCTATGCTGAAAGGGCATCTACATAATATATGCATCCTCATCATTTCAACAAACGGACAAAATACAAGACGTACGAGGGAACATTGGAGCTTTCCAAAAGTTATGGAGGAATAAATACCAAAGCGAAAGTCTTAAGGTTAAACTGGAATATGGTTCTTTATTTGGGAAAAAGAAGAAGAAGAAGAAGAAGAATATGGCTCTTTAACCAAAAAAAAAGGAATATGGTTCAAACACTGCGATACTTTCCACTAAGAGCTTCCACAGTAAATTCGGGGTTGTAAAGCCGCCTTTACATCTCATTTACACGTCTCCTGCATATGTAAATTATGTTTTTGCTCCAATGGGTGAAATGTAAATCTAAAAAATGTAAATTTAATTTTCTTGTTTTGACTCGTTTTTGAGTAAGGGTGGATATAGGGCTGACGACTGCTCTACAAAATATTGTTGTCTCTATAGTTGCCACGTCTATTTTCTGACCTTATTTCTTTTGGTCAATAGTGATGAAGTTTCCATTAAGATGATGAAAAGCAAACACATAGACTTCAAATGAAACCAGGAGTGCGTAGGCTAAAAGACATATCTAAAAGCCCCGAGACATAAAAAGAAAAGCAAACACATAGACTTCATAATTAAGTACAAACAGATCACCAAATGACAGAATGCCTTGATTAACAAGAAACAGACCATAATTTAGCTATACTCCTTAGCTATATCTATCACACAATAAGTTAATTGGCAAAAGTAACGATGCCATCCATGATCTTACACACAACCTCTTTAGACTCCTTGAGCTTTTTGATGCTCTTGATGAGCTTCTCGCGCTTCACTGCAATTGATGGATGTTCCTCCATCATCCTCTCAATCCCAACACCATGGTTAGGTCCCATTAACTCACCCACAATCTCCATCCCCAAGTCCTTGTCCACAAGGTTCGAAATACTCAGCTGCAAATGCAAAGCCATAGAATCAATCAACCTTTTCAGCACAACATTCCAATATGCATTCATCCGCATTTTCAAGTCGAAAGCTTCAGACAATAGAACATGTGGGTACTTCATTAGATCTCCAACTTCAACCATCCCAATTCCCTCTACATTTATTTTTATCTCAGTGTGAAGTCCAAGTCCTAGATCATGAGAATTACGAAGTACCTTTGTGATGAATGTTTCTTGTTCAGTCATGAGCCTATGCCATTCGGATACATATTCCGGATTACATGTATAATCAGTCAGCTTCTCCATTTCCAAAATCTCCGTCATCCAATGAATGGACCTTTCTTTCATCCTTCGAATAAGATTTTGGCATGCTCTTCTGGCAGACGGTTGAAGCTGATAATATTTTTCTGTTTTTCTCATTAACACAGACAAAACCACATTCTCAATATAATTCCAAACGTGCTCAACAAACTCAAGAGGTATGCCTGAAATCCCTTCCACTTTTCCCTGCAAAATTATACGAAAAGCATTGCGCTGAACAAAATTGGGAAGGTTGATACCTTTTGCCTCCTCCAAAATCGCAATCTCCTCCAATAAGAAATTACTTTTGGAGTCACTCTCATTGCACCCGTGAAGTTGATATGAGCACTGATCGAGCATCTCAACCAGCCTAGCCGTGCAATGCATTTGTTGGTCATGCGGGAACTCGTTAAATTCACCCATCAAAAGAATCTTCTTAAGTGATTCTTTGGATGCTCCAATGATCTGCGTAAAAGCAGTCATGGCCTCAGTAACAGTTGACAGAGTTTTCGGCAATTTGTTGAGTTCTGAAAGGTAAGAATTCAGCTTGTCATTGATCTTCTCTTCAATAACAGGCAAATTTCTAGCTATGCTAGCAGCTTGAATTTGGACCAACTTGTCAGCCAAAACCTGAATTCCAACCATAGACTTATCAATCTTTGAAAGAAGGGGATGAGTTTTAAATAATTGATCCGCAATAGCCCTCGCCTCCTCATACGTTTCATCTCGAATCCGGTTCCTTACACAGACATAGCCAAGACCAATGTCCACATCATCAGCTGTAACCTTCTCCAGCAGTCCCTCTGGTGCCATATCAACCTTTGTAACCACAGCCAGAGTCCTCTCACCAGTTTTGTCCACACTCCGCGACATGCTAATTGACTCACATGTGCTAAAATCATTAGAAGCAGATAAAACATTCAAAATGATGCTCTCATCTGGTTTTATATACTTCATGATCATATCTTTGATTTGATCATAGATATTCTCAGGCTGGCCATGAACTGGAACTCTAGTAATTCCAGGGAGGTCAACCATGGTCAAATCAGGCACACCATTCTTCTTCACCAACAAGGTCAATGGGGTGTCTGAAATTCCCTTCTTGTGTCCTGCAATCAGATTAGTGGCATTCACAATGTCTTCAGAAACTTTGTCCTCATCAGTGTGCTCAACTCTGCCATTGTACTCCAGTGAAAGCTCTGGTTGAGGATCAGAGTGGTGCTGAAGCCTCATTACGAGAGGAACCCTTGTGCAGATACCTTGTCCACGCGGCAGGCTGATGCCGGCAAGGGACTCAAGAACACTGGATTTGCCAGATGACTGGTCTCCCACAACAACAATGGTGGGCAGCTGGATGCCTTCCTCCATAACCATGAGGATGCGGAGCTTGTCAATGGCATCAAGCATAGGGCGAATTTTGTCGTTGTAGGATGAGACAATTGGCGCGTTGTTGAAAAGTAGCTGTGCTTTTGATGAGGAAGATGATAAGCCTTCTTGATCATCTTGTAAAATGGATGAGCTTGATGATCTGCTTCCTGAATCAGTTTGAGTTCTCCTTCCTCCCATTTTCTGAGATATAATTGAAAGCAAATCGGAGGAGGAAATCATGGCCAAACCGAGAGAGGAGAAAAAAATGAAGGGGGTTGTTTTAGGCAAACTTGACCTCTGCCTAACAGAGAAATCATGGATAAATAGAGAAAAAAGATACATGAACATGACATGCACAATGTGAAAGATGCAGACATAGGAATCTTTCACCTTAGTATGGGAATTTATGCTTTGGTTTTTGTTTTACATCGCAAGGAACCTTATGCTTTTGTACATCAAATAGTGACTGAAAATGCACGAACCAGTCACTTCAATAATGCATGACACTGACAAGTTACAACACAAAATGGTGTCTACACTATCAAAAGTATCAGTGAAGTTCTCTTCGGCGTTCCCACCATCACACGAATTTAAACGCAAGAATATACGAGTGAAGACTTTTAGACCATCTCCAAAGGTAAAAGACTCAAACCCGAAATTTCACCTCCAGAAATACAACTTTTCATCTATACATAGGACTCAAACAGTTTTTTTTCCTAATCCTATAGACTCAATCAGTTTTTCGGAAATCTTACAGCCACCAATTAATATACCAAGTTATTGATACCAACTATATTGCACATGACATAGCGATCTCATCTATTCTAATCACTCAAATTTGAACTCCTACTATTTTGAGGCCTTCACATTTGAAGGCACATGGGAGTCCAAGATATCATAAAAGTCCTCGCAACTTTTCCTTTGTGAGGGTTGTTTTCGGAGCCTAGGCCCCCCTTTTACCATGGCAAAAGGAAATGGGTTGACAAGACTTTTAGACCATCTCCAAATGTAAAAGACTCAAACCCGAAATTTCACCTCCAGAAATACAACTTTTCATCTATACATAGGACTCAAACAGTTTTTTTTCCTAATCCTATAGAATCAATCAGTTTTTCGGAAATCTTACAGCCACCAATTAATATACCAAGTTATTGATACCTACTATATTGCACATGACATAGCGATCTCATCTATTCTAATCACTCAAATTTGAACTCCTACTATTTTGAGGCCTTCACATTTGAAGGCACACGGGAGTCCAAGATATCATAAAAGTCCTCGCAACTTTTCCTTTGTGAGGGTTGTTTTTGGAGCCTAGGCCCCCCTTTTACCATGGCAAAAGGAAATGGGTTGAAGTGCTCTAGCGCACCTGTAGAAGAAGAAGATATCACTAACCAAACACAAGCAAGCCTTCTACAATCAATAAACCAAAATGCCCAAAGTATTGAATAGGGTTTAGCCACAAAATTCTCTGAGCTAATAAGACTTTTCTTAGTATCCAAACACACAATACCTACCTCGTTTTCTCACAACTATATTCCTATATTCATATCTTCTAAGATTCCTTGTTTTCCATATCTTCTAAGATTCCTACCTACATTCACTACTACGTTTTTCTATTTGCGCGACGATAGTTTGCGCGACGAAGGACAAATCGTCGCATAAAAGATCATCGCGGGACAGACAATCATATGCGTAGCGCAAACTAGAGCGACGAAGAACTTTCATCGCATAAAAGATCATCGCGCGACAAACAATCATATGCGTAGCGCAAACTAGAGCGACGAAGAAATTTCGTCGCATAAAAGATCATTGCGCGACAGAAAAAACGACCGTCGCGTAAAACAAGGGGAAAAAACCGCGAACAAATATTCTAGCGCCTAATTCTTGCGCAACGACTAAACTCGTCGCAAATGACATCTTTGCGCGACAAAGAACTGTCCGTCGCGTAAGGTACGATATACAAAACCATTAATCCTAAGCCTTAATTTTAATTTTGCCATCTAAATCATATGTTTTTCATTGATTTTAGTGAAGATCATCATACATACCCTTTTAATTATGGGAATGGTAGAGGAGAATCTTTTTGTATGGTTATCAACCTCCATACGAATAAATTTCAGGGTTACCAATTTACGTACGAATCTTTTTGTAGGGTTATCAACCTCCATATGTTTTGAAACTAAAAAGTGTTTATTCAACTCTACAAAACTAATTTCAACGATCCAACCGTTAAACGTGTTTGTATATACTGTGAGATTGTATACCCCAAAAATCGCAAATAACAAATATTCAGAGATCTAGAAATGGGACAAAATATTCAAATGTTATAAATGAACACGTTTGCGCGACAACTATTTGCGCGACGACGATGTATTCGTCGCCCTATGATGTTTAGCGCGACCAAAAAATAATACGTCGCGCATAATAAATAGCGGGAAACAAACAGTGTTCCATATTTGTGCGACGAAAAGTTTAGTCGCGCTAAGGTATAATGCGCGACAAAAAAAAATTTCGTCATCGCGCAAACAAACAGCGGGAAAAAAACCGCGGGTTTATCGCTTTGGCGCCAAATGATTGCGCAACGAACTTTGCGCGACGATATATTCGTCGCGCAAATTCATTGTATTCTTGCGCGACGACGATTGGTATTCGAGCGACGGATATATGTGCGACGGTTAAAGTTTAATACGTCGCACAAAAATGGATGTCGGCACCACCATGCGCGCCGGGGAAAAAATTTTGCGGGACGGCAAATACGTTTGCGCGTCGAACAATATGCGACGAATATGTTTATTTGTCGCGCAATGTCTTACGGTTTTGCGCGACGAAATAAGCTATCCGTCGCGCAAAATCGTCGTTTATTACTTATTCAGTTTCAGCCACTCTCTCCCTCTATCTCAAACGTCATATGCCAAGCAAACGCATCAATCTCATTTCGTTTATGAGTTAAACTATTTCTGCCTCCGGTAAGTTCATTGATTATGTATTTTTTGTCGTTAGTGTAAAAATATTACTGTAAATTCATACTAACGCCATTAATTTCGTTGTATATAGGGATATTATATGTGATTAGCGATTGGTGGAGAACGATTGCGAAGGTATTATATAAAATTAATTACATTATGTTTAAATTGTGTTGTGAAATTATATTTATATTATGTTGCACGTTGATGTACGAAGTTAATTGAAATTAACTTCATACATTTTTTTTTTGTAAAGCTTAGTTCCCGTTCGAGGTTAGTTGGACCGCGCATGGGTGGGTAAACCACGACTACGGTCCAATTAATTCTTGAATTGTCCCATACTTTGGACAGTTTGGAAATGCATAGTCGTGTCACGTAGTTTACAGCTACAGGATTAGGTTTCGATTGTGGAGATTTCGGTGTCATCTCGGTACGTTCTTCGGGTGGTACGTAGGTATTTTATATCTACGGTACGCCTCAAGAACTGTACCGAGATGCTGCCGAAATTCATCCACGTCGAAATCTAATCTCATGTAGTTGTAAATTACGTGACATGACTATGCATTTCCGAATGGGATAGGGCCCTTACCGGAGGCATAAGGTGACGTTATGATTTTGTAAGAATACAACATGATTGTTGTATTGTGATTGTGGTTCCAGGAATTATGAGCAGAAGGTGGATACAGAACCCTAACAGGTGCGCAGACGAATACTTGGATGGAATCGAGGACTTTATTCACTTTGCACGGTCACACAACCCGGGTGCAACTATCTTCAAGGGGCACAAGAGTGGACAATGTTGAATCTATTGTGGAACCTAATGAGCAAGTCATGGATATTATAAATGATGCTTTTCCATTTGCATCGACGAGCAGCAATCAGCAAGGGGAAGATGATGTGCCTACACCAACGGATAGTGCAGAGTTTGAACAGTATGAAAAACTGTTAAGAAATGCTAACCAAGAGTTATATCCGGGGTGCGAGAGCTTTTCCGTTCTGACGGCCATTGTGGAGCTAATGCATGGAAAAGTAAAGTACCGTATGTCGAACCTGAGTTTCGATTACTTTTTGGGGGTTTTCAAGAGAATGCTTCCGACGGACAATTGTTTGCCGAAAGACCACAGACAGGCGCAGAAGATGTTGAGTGGTCTTGGATTGGGTTATGAAAAAATCCACGCTTGCAAAAACAATTGCATGTTATTCTACAAAGAGTATGAATCATTGGATACATGCCCTATATGCAATGAGTCGAGGTTCAAACAGAAGTCTCAGAATAGAATGACTAAGGTTCCACAAAAAGTCATGCGTTATCTGCCCCTGAAACCAAGATTGCAGCGATTGTATATGTCGACGCATACTGCCACAGACATGAGATGGCATAAGGAAAAACGGGTAGACGACGATGTGATGCGGCATCCTGCAGATGGGGAGGCATGGAAAGAGTTCGATCGAACGTTCCCCGAGTTTGCTGCTGATCCCCGAAATGTTAGGCTGGGACTAATGGGGAGGAATGGAAAGAGTTCGATCGAACGTTCTCCGAGTTTGCTGCTGATCCCCGAAATGTTAGACTCGGACTTGCCACTGACGGATTCAATCCGTACGGGGTTCTAAACCAACATCACAGTACTTGGCCGATTTTCGTATTCCCATATAATTTGCCGCCTTGGAAATGCATGAAAAAAGAGTACATGATGATGACTGTTTTGATAAATGAGGATCCTGGCAGGTCAATCGATGTGTACTTAAGGCCGTTGGTTGATGAGCTCAAGGATTTATGGACAAACGGTGTGCGCACGTACGATAAATCCACTGGGAAGATGTTCACTTTGAGAGCGGCAGTTATGTGGACTGTGAATGATTTTCCCGCATATGCAATGGTGTCGGGGTGGAGCACAAAGGGTTATATGGCATGTCCTGTATGCAAGGAAGATGTGACTTCTGGTTGGCACGCTGGAAAAGTGTGTTACCTTGGGCATCGAAGATGGTTGCCATGGGATCACGAGTGGCGGGAAAATGATAAAGAGTTCGACGGGAACAAAGAGCATCGTGCAAGACCTAGAGAATCTTCCGGTGATCAGATCTTGGAACAGCTTAACCATTTGGATTTTGCTCCGTTCGGGAAAACTGTTAGTCGAACCAGACCTGCTACACATATGAACTGGACGCACAAGTCTATGTTTTTTGAGCTCCCATATTGGTCGAAACTAAAATTGAGGCACAATCTCGACGTTATGCATGTTGAGAAAAATGTGTTTGACACATTGATGGGAACGATTCTAGATATCAAGGACAAGACAAAGGACACGATA